AAGTAACTGAATAGCAATTTTTTTTTTGCCAGAAAAAATTTGGTAGTATTCTCACAGAATCGAATTAACGCTTCAAAATCAATATACGTATATATATCTATTAGTAGGCCTGATTTTACTAGATATGGAACAGGCTTAGATCATCACAAACTCGAGTTTTCGAGTAGCCCGCTCTTCGAATCGACACAGAAAAAATAGGTTGATATTTACGTGCGCTGTTTCTTCGTTGATGCAATCTTATCAGTCACGATGAACCCTAAAAATCATAATGAATAAACGCATTCTGCTCAAATAATTCTGTGACTAGTTAACCTAGGATCTCTAATTAGCTTTTTCGAATGCAGTACGAAAGCGCGTCGTTCAACCAAGCTGACTTAATTAAGTGTAAACATTGATTTCTTTCAAAGAAGTAAAGAGCTATAGAAAGCCTAATTACATCAGTTAACTAAACAAAGGGACTATGGACAGTGAACGCATACGTCTACGAGCGTTGCACGAGACACAAGGCATACAAAACCGCGTACATACTTTTTTGAGCCAAAGTGACACTGTGACTGTATTTAAAACACCATACTGCACGCACTTCATTTCATGTTCTACCCAAACACCTCGATTGGCTATCGACCCCTAATGACGTTAACGATATCCTGCAATAGCTTTTTTCTTTTTTTTTCCCAATTATGGTGGGTTTTATGTTACCTGTGATTTAAATCAAATTAGCTGTAAACTGACAATGTACAACAAACGAAGTAACAAGAAAGTTCTTTATGATTGAACAGAAGCCTTTAGAGGGTTGATAAAAAAAAAGAATAGAAACAAATATCTTACAATATTTATACACAATTCTCGATGCTCTCATTAGCGTCACGATTTCCTTTAGTAAAAAGGATAATATTAACCAAATATGTATTCTCTATTTTTCTTGTGACCCATAATCTGATGAAACACATAGAACAAATTCCAGCCTGTGTATGTTCCATCGTTTTATCTCGTGAATGAATTAGGACGGCTTGCTGATGGAAGCCAAGAGTATAACTTATTATTGACTAATTAAACGTTTTGCCATTATTGACGTTACCAGCAAGTTCTGTATATCTATATTATAAAGTCTGTATATAATAACACGTCTTCGTGTTGGTATGCCAAGACTATCAGCGGCAACCGTCTGGAAAATTGTCGGGGAACTTTCGATGTAACCCACACGTAGATTCATCGGAGCGTTATAGAATAGCCATGATTTTTCTGCTCACGTTAGCGTTATATTCGTTGAAATTATCATCAAAAAGTACGACGCAGGTGATCTCGTACGGGCGTTATATTATTACACAAATCTGTCACCGGATGCAGCGGTGACTTATGAAGCGATATGAAGCAAACGGCTCTCACATGCGATGTCGCTGAAAAGGGGAGAATTTGTTAATAGGATTCAACGTTTAAATGATTTGATAAATCACCTGAACATACTAAATTTGACTCTAAGACGATAAATAGTTTTTTTAATCATTAAAGAGAAGTAATTTTTTCCACGGAGCATAACCTTTGATCCATCATAAAAATAAATGGATACAAGTAGCTAAATGCGGATCCGCGCATAACCGTCTTACAGTACCCACGGTGTGCCCTTCCAAAGTTTTGGCGCTTACAACGAACAGATTTACATAATCTTCTTTCTTAGAAATTTTTTACGATCATTTTCAAATGACTGTACGACAACGTAATCCGTATCCTAGGTAAGTACAGCTTCTCTGGTAGAAAGGACCACATAACACTGCGATTGCAGGGAGAACAACACTATTCACGGGGCCTAAAATAACGGCATTGATGGTGTTTTCAAGACCGTGTGCTAAAATTTAAATTTTGCGTTGTTAGTATTTGGCGCGCTCAATCGAAATAAGCTCAACGCATCCAGCTGACTTAGTCTATCCCCAATTGCAAAATGCTTATAATTTTGATTTTTGTAAGTCTGTTTGTGTGTGTAGCAAATACTTAAAGAATATAGAGCCAAATAGAAATTAACTCAACTAAAGCCAAATGTAAAACAGATATAATTACATGTAGAACACCTGGTCATTAGCGAGAAACCAAGCTTCAGATATACAAGTTACTGCAACAATATTTAATATCGTATAATATACCACATAATATATACAGCTTACTATTTACATACTTGATTGACTACAAGCAAAAATACTCTGCATCTACTTGAAGGTAAATTACAATGGCATATTCCTCTGTAGTTTCTGCTTCTGATTGTTTTGGATGTCCTGCTTCTAGCACACTTCCTTCGGAGGTGATTTTTCGAAATGATTTGAACCAACGATCTTTTGATAGCCTAGTAGTTTAAACAGACAGATAGACTGTGCTCATACCAATCAATTGACTCGTACATACTTATCAGAAGTACTAGGAATCCTTCGGAGATGGCACAATGGTAACACGCTTGCTTTTTTTCCGGCGGACTAGATTCTACACACTGACTAACCGAAAAAAAATTACTTTTGAGGATGAATTAATTACATCTGCTTATTAAATTTAAAAAAGGCCTAACGGTGCCAACAGTATAGCTAAAATATCTTGTAGCATTAATCAGCGAAACTGAAAAAATGGCTATTTGCAATAACCTAAGTTGAATAGAGGCTCGTACACGCCAGTTTGTTGACGATTTCATATTCTTCATATTACTTTAAATATAATTCATTTTATTGCATTTAGTTAATAAAAACAAAACTTAAATTGCTTCAGTTTGCTCATTCAAATCTATGTATCGTTTCCACTATGGTCTTCGCTACCTGGAATCATACGAGTCTACAACTTAAAAAAGAAAAATATATATATGTATGTACTTTACAAGTAAAACTTGAATAAATTTTCGGGGCTACTTACTGCTTTATATGTTTATATGTGTTTCAGTTTGACGGATATTGTAATAACTGATTCGGACGTGTTACAGAGACATACTTACCAAACTGTCTTCGTTGTAATGCTTGTCCGGTCTGCCTTGAAAACCCCCCGGTCTGACGATCACTAAGGGCGTTCCCTTGTACAATTTTCGCTGCGAGATTGGCGATGAATTGATTGAGATCATCAAAATAGTCACCGTCCAATGGGGAGCGAGTTAAAAGTAACTTTATCCCAACACTGCCACTCAAAACAGTACCGTTTGGTCATTTTAATAAAACACACGAATTTCATAATCAATCTTCCTAAGGCCCCAGTTTGTTAATGACGTTTAATGTTAGAATTAATTAAACTTACATTTCTATCGATGCGCCAAATCTAACGTCATAATAAAAGAATTCGTTGTACAACATTCCTATTCCGGCTGCTGTTTTTGTTAATATCCTTGTTATCCTACCTATGAAATGACGCGTTTGCTGGTCCCTAGCTGATTTACTCTCTGAATTATAATCTTTCTGTTAGTAAACATTTTCTAAAAATTGGTTTTAAAGATTCGTGGAAAACAACTTGTTTTGCGCCGAGTTAATCCTGACTAAACAACAAAGTGCATCTTTGGCCTAGCCAATATGTTCTTCTAAAATTCACATGAACTTGAACTTGCTGCGAAAAAGCACAATGAACTGTTTTTGCTATTATTTTATTTTTAACTAGAAATCAAGTACCTGTACTAAAGGCTCACTTAAAGTGGTGCCCGGCTATTAGTATTTTCTAACGGATTAATTTATAATTTAAGAAAAAGAAAAGAGATTATTAAAAATCTTTAGAAGATATAAAAGGAAACTTAAATCCTATGCACTAAATCTGCAATCTTAATAAAGAATAAATTAAATTAATTATTACAAAATAATGTCCCAATCATTACATGTGAATCATGAAATTCTGTTAATTTTTGTAAGGGCAAGGCGCATTTATTCCATGGATGGCGAAGTGTAAGCACTGGATCCGTTGGATCTGAGAAGGGTGCGATTTGCATCATCACCATCATCATCATAGATCATTCGTAGATTATGTGGCTGACTGGCTGGCTGATTATGCGTCCGTTCGTTTGAATACCCATCCGTTTGCGCGCTATATTCTGTCGTTCCGTCCATAGTCCTGAAGCGAATTTGAGACTTTTCGTTTAACGGTAGTACGTACAGGAAGAGCCCCAATCAGAGCAGAAGGCGACACGAATAAACGAGAGCGAGACGGAGTAGGAAAAAGAGCCTCGCTGTGGCTGAAGGCGGTGTCGGTTGCTGTGTCACGTGGCATAGTTGTCGCTTGCGGTGTCGTCAGATCGTCATCTCAATAGCTTTTCCACTCCACTCTTTTAATCAAAACTACGCTGCTCCCTCAAATGAAATGAGCTGCTTGTGATTACGTCACGCCTAACTGTCATGCAGTCGGATGTTCCACTCTCGGGCATGCTTTGCCGTCATTATCGAAGCTTCGGGCGTCACCGATGTTTTGCACATAAGAGCGTTGCAGCAATGACGACACATACGACATCAATATACTGTTATATGCGGTTTCCATTAATGCGTTACTTTAGCGGCCGCTCGGTTTCCTATTACACATGCACTTTACAGGCAGGTTACGAGTCCCTGTCGTGCCAACAACGCCCTGAAGAAAGCGGCCGTTTCAGAAAGCGTGACCCCGAAACAGGCCAAAACCTGCAGAATTTTCTTTTTGCTTTATATTATTATCTTATCTTCTTGTGCTTAAGTTTAGCCGAAAGAAGATGGGAATGAATTGCATCTTTCAAATATTCTGTAACGTGCAAGACTTGGCGGGCTGCAATCTTCAACACTTGGGAACCAACTATTTTTTTAAAATAATTCAACCGAAAAGAAGAGACGTTATTGCGACAACATTGCGTCTACCTTTCATTAAAGTTTTATAAGGATAGCATTTCAACGCATTGGTACACAGTCGCTATTTGCACTTAGACAAAGGTAGTCAATTCAACATCGCAAGAGTAGAATATAATTCGATTCCAAATTAACCAGGGAGGTAAATGATATTTCTAATAGTGAGCAAACACTAATACATTAGAGCAGTAAATACACAGTTTTGTTTTACGTTTATCTAAATATCAAAATAGTTTATTCGTGTTAACAACGTGTGCCGGTAGCAAATTTGTCAACGCCTGGTGCTTCCATACAGAACATTATAATCGTCACCCGTCACGTGCTATTACAACTTTTGGTGCAGTTCTTGTTTTCAATTCTTTCAGCTCTTTCAACCCGTTGTTATCAATGACATTCTTAACGAATCATTAATTCAAATTTGAATGAACATCCTCTAGACAATCTATACTAGAATGACTGCTCCAATTGTGACAATTTGACTTCCAAATGTTTACAAAACATATGCCATATTTGTTCTAACAATCAAACCAGGAATTCTAATCCAAGTTAACTAAGGTACTACTTGTTTGCTAAAGCAGTAACACCAGATCTGAAAAGCGCTTTTTCTCATGAAAAGCAAACAAAAAAACACCGCTCCTTCTTCCTGTTGTTGCTTCTTGTCGAGCCATTTTTAACATGACAGTTATGGTCCGTTAACGATTGTGCAAGCAGAGTATGTTAGCAAAGTGAATATAAGAGACATATTCACTGGCGATTGTCTGAAAGTTTTCTGGCCAGAGAAAATACAAAACATGGATGGCTTTTACTCTGTTGTCGCCCTCTGCTTTTCTACATTCTAGATAGGAACAGGTTGAAATAGTCTACAAAAAAGTCTAGTGCTTTCTCTAGCCGAAGGGAAGCTGGCTGTAGAAGGCGAGCACCTTGTTGCTCTCGATAGCTTATTTCACGTCAGTTTTTAATTTTTTTCCTATTCTGTCCCTTTTAATAGCATTACTACTCAGAGCTGAGACGAATATTGTTTACGAAGCATTTGAACTAGTTTGAGGGCAGGTTTACGGGCCCGCAGGTCCAACTAAACTATCGAGTTTATATTAACGTCTACATCGAGTAATTATGATCATTTTAGAATTCTGTTGATCAGGTTATCGAGCTCTCATTTGCCATTCTGTATGTACATAAATCGGGGTACACTTCACGCTATGCCTAATCGGTGTACTGCATACCCTCTCTCAGGAATAGAACGGTGCGTCCAGATCAGAGAAGTCAAGAAAGCGCCGAACGGGCAGTCGCCTGCTAATCGTTGGTCCGTTAATGGTCCTACTGAGGGTGCTGCTGCTATTTCCTGCGGTATTTGTCGTTAAGCCGCAATTAAGCGGTACATCCATTACGCTCTGCCTTGCACAGCTGTTGCTCAGATTATTGTTGAAGTCAATATCAAGAGGGCTGGCCATTCCGACACTTTGGCTACACCCTGAACTAACATTTATCCCTTCTAATCCAGGAGGGGCGGAGGTCAAATTAGTACGTCCCTCAGGCAGCCCATCCGAGTTAGAGGACAAAATATTAAATAACGATGAACACCCGTCGTTTCGACCTAATAAAGATGTACTCGAGAAGCCAGCTGCAAACAAAATAGAAAAATAAGAAAACGTCGGCAATTTTTTTCAGTGTTATCTAAAACCGTACTATTAAATAATAATTTCTGTAGTTGAACAACTCAAGTTTTTCCCTAAATTTCAGAATTTCACATATTTGCATTGATTTAACTGAAAAAACGAAAAATGTCTACATGTCTATTGACCTAACAATGAGATAGAATTATTCACCAATGGTCGTAAGCGCGTATACTTACCGTAGCGTATCGATAGGCCCTTTCTCTTCAAAGTATTTTGCAAAAGTAATTAAGTTTGAGTTTTCACTAATTACGACATCAAAGTCCACTCAGATACACTCAACCCAATAACTTAAAATCTCTAGGTTTCAGAAGTCTACCTTAGAAACGTTAAGTGTTACCTTGACAACAATAAAAAAAGAACAGGATCTATACGCCAATGGCAAAAGAAGATATCACCAAAAGGTACAACAGAAAAATTAGTGCTCTAAGTCTCTGGCACAGATTGTCAGTGGTGATGTATATAAGGGCCTAAACTGAAAAGACAGTAATTTCATAAAATGTTTGTAAAAACATTTAAGAAGAGAAAATCAAACATTTTTAGAACGATTAAATATTTCAATATAAACTCATTCTCAAGGTATCGTACCGAAACTTGACGGTCCCCACGGATTATATCCTGGTGAGAGATTAACATCGTCTTGAGGATGCCCGGGTCGAAAGGGTGGTGAAGAAAAGTCTGCACGAGTTCCATGGTCTTGTGGGTTCACTCCGCGCTGAATTTGTACATTATCACCCTTGCGAATTGTGCGAGAAAAGTTACCACGAGAATCTGCGACATTCGTATTATCGAAAACATCATCGCGAGAATCGGGCGCTAAAAGCGCACTATTACTAGTCTCCGGATCCAGTAATGAATGAAGCTCGTTTCTGAATATCGTACAGTGACCACGTGGCGCTCCGTTCGGCACAGGTGAACAGCCCTTAGGACTTTCGACAGTTGAATTCGTTCCAGAAAAGGATGTTTTACTTCCTAGCGAGGAAGACGATGACGATTCTGTAAAGATACCGGACGATGAGCAACTGTTCACTTCTTCTGAAGCAGGACTTCGGTTTAACTGCTGTCTAATTTCCGCCTGTGTGGCCACTACAGGCTTTGTTCGTTGAACTGAAGATTCCGGTTTAGCCAACTTTTCTTTAAGGTAGGATATCTCCTTAAGGAGATCGTCAACCTTATATGTAAGAACGTTATTACGTTCTTGTAAATTTTCCATCTCTGTCTGGTCGTCGTAATGCTGATTTTCCAACTCGCGCAATTTATATTCCAAGTCCTCGACACGATCTGTCTCTCGTCGGACTTTGGCACGGAGAGTTTCATTTAATTTTCTTTCTTTTTCTAATTCGCTTTTTAATTCTCGCATCTCTTCGGTAACCTTTTTCACATCATCTTTGGCTTTGCTCTTCTCTACAATAAGCGACTTTTTTACATTATGAAAGTCTTTGATTTTCTTATCCTTTGTTATGTGCTCCTTTCGTAATTTTTCAAGCTCTTCGTCTTGCCCAAAAATCTTCACTTTTTGATCGTCAAGAAGTTTTTTATTTCTATCGAGCTCCTTTTCCAACAAATCAATTTTGCCCTCAGCGATACGAGCCTTTTCGACGACGATGCACATTTCCTTTTTGTGAGATTCGAGAATTTCTGTTGTTTTCTCACGCTGCATATCCATCGCTTCGTGAAGTCCCTTCGGCAAATCACATGGTTAAATCATATGGTTAGATGATATCTACGTTCAACCGTAATGACGGAAAGTCATACCAAAAGACTTTACAAGATGTCCTTCTTTGATTATATTATTTAATGTTTAGAACCAGAACGGATCTGGCCTAGCCCTCATATGTAGACGTACTTTGGATTTTACTTTTAAATAAATTTTAGCTCGCATTAGCTAGAACTTTATCGCGAATACTTACAAGGGTATGTACAATTAATTTGACTATGGACAAGTGTGGTCGAGCATTTTGAACTGATGAGACCTCCTAATACATATATTTGTGAACAATTTAAGTAAAGCCTATATGTAATAATTTAATGAAAAACGGCACATTTCAGTGTTATTTTGTTACTGATAATCCACTTGTTTGAATGATATGCCAATTAGTAAAATTTTATACAACCTTATTATGCTCTATATATATACATATATATATAGAGCGTAGTAAGGTTGTATATATATATACCTTTTTAAGCTCGTTCACCATTTCAAGGACCTCACTAACGAAGTCCTTGTACATTTTTCCATACTTCACGACGAACTTCCACAACTCAAATGAGTTCTGCGATTTGTTATCCAATGCCTTTTTAAGTTCCGAGTCATGGGGAAACACTTCTGAAACGAGGCATTTGAGTTCATCCCATGTCGCCACCTTCGTATCTTGTTGACCGACGCTCTTAAATTTAAACTCTTTGTCAAATAACGCCTCCGATTTAAGGGCGTTTGCAGCAGCAATGCCCGAACTCAAACCCGCAGTGTATGAAGCGATTGTGTTTAAACTATCTGCTTGAACCTGAACCTTTTCGTTTAGCCTTGAGTGTTGTTGCTGACTTACACCCAAGCGTTCACAGACAGACAATTGTTGCTGCTTCAAGCTTGGAGCAGGCAGCTGCAATGGCTTTCTAAACAACTCGAGGGTTTCGTCGATACGATACATCTCACGATAGACATCAGCTTCTTCCGACTCTTCTAATTCAATTTCTAGCTCAACTTCGGGATCAGGCGACCTTTTCTTATTGTTGTTTTTCCTTTTCTTCCTCCTTTTCTTTTTACATCCGCCTGCAGCAGGCTCGTTCTCAGTGACCTGGATTCCACCATTATTCTCGAAATCCTCCGCAGCTTTCAGTACCTCGTCGTAGACATTGGATATAATGGGCAAATCATCATAATCGCTATCTTCGTTATAGCGTGGTACATTACTAAGGATGGACACGCCTTCAACGACTCGATTTGACACCTAAAATGATCATGGGCAAAGTTAAATTGATTTAACTAAACGACCTATTCAAAATCGAACAAAAATGGGGCCACAGTTCAAGCTACAATGCATGAAGACCAAGATTTGTCCACGTAGTGTAAAACATTTATGTGAAAATAGAACGAGAAACCATACCTGCAACAACTGAAGTGCTCTTGGAGTGGCTCCGACGACTCGCACATAGCCGATTCGCGATGCACGCTGCTTTAAATCCTTGTCGATGCGCGCTTCTGTGTGCTCCGAAGTGTGGTGTGTGCAGCTGTCTGCTTGCGGTTCAATCGCATCCTCAAAACGATGATCTTCAACGTTCGTCGTGGCTAGCTGCTTGAGCATTTCGACTAAATGCTCTTTTGCTTGGGGATTGAGCGTAAGGTATTTTTGTATAACCCTGTCGCTTACACAACCATCCTTATCAGGAGATAAAAGATAGTCGACAACATCGATGAAGTTCGAGTCATCGTCCTCCATAGAGAAGGATAACGAGGCTATTAAGGACTCTCGCAGGCCACCGAGCAATGCGCCTGGCGGCTCACGTAAAGGCTCTGGCAATTTGAAGGGCATTTTTGACCTTTAATTAACAGCTAACCTGAAATTGATCGCACATTTTTTCATGAGACTTCTATGCTATCTTACTTTCTAGGTACACAGGGAACAAATTAATTTCATCAGATTACCTATTGCTATGTCGAAGTAAGGAGTATCCATTTTGACACAGAAAAGTTTAATACACAAAGAAGCAGATATTTGATGAAGGAATATGTTGTCCTCGAAATTATACATATGTCTGGGATATTATTTTACAAAACTAGCGCACACGAACTATGAGATGAACACAGACTTTGTTCGTTTTTCAGGAAGATAACACAGATCGATGAAGTTTAGCAATAAGCGCATAATACGGATGATTGTAGCAACGTATTGCAACTTGGCAATTATTGCCACTGAGAATAAGCCGCTTAGTTGTGGCTGGCAAGCTTCCTCTTCTTTTCGTCATTTCAAAGCTGCAGTACGGGGCTCAACAAAGGCGACAGAGAGGGAACCGCCCTAGATGATACAAGCGGAGGATTCTCGGGCTCAACACCGCCGCTAACACTATTAATAAGTGGTATGGGCCTTAGAGGCCTGATTGACTTGCACTAGCACAAACAGCAAGAATCTGGCCAAACGCCCGATAAGCTTTGCAGCGGCAGCCCAGAGAAAAATTCTAGCGATAGTTAGAGTAAACCATTGCTTACATAAAAAGTCGACCGACAGATACGATCGTTTCCACTACGACGAGCAGGCAAGCACAGCTATCCTAAACCAGCAGTTATGTGACGATGGCGCTGGCCGCAAGAAAACACACGAGCGGCATGCCATTGCTAAGGGGCGCAGACTAGCTAGAGCAAGAGGAAGGTCTCAGTCGAAAGGACCCATGAACTACTGTTATGGCGCCCTTCAACAACGCTGCTGGAGCAGCAGCGATATTAGGGGCAGAAGCAGTGTTGCATTCGCAGGTAGATCTGTTAAATGCTAGCGAAGAACGACCGAATCATTCGACTGTCAACGTAGAACCTTCCCTGGAGAGCCTCTCGGCCCTTTCAGTGTTTCGACCTCCTATTATCGGATAGATTCCGTCAAAGAGATGGGTCTATATCGAACAAGTAACACGCCAACCCTAAGAGATGACGGCACAAAAGTATACCTCGGCAAAACATAGGCGCTCACATATCAGCCAAGCAAGATTCGACCGAGACAGTATCTTTGAATACACACTGGAGATGATCTTGTATTGCCGTATGGAATGAAATAAAAGAGTTACCACCATCGCAAAGAGCAAAACCATATTGCTTAATTCAAGGACGTAATACTCACATAATACGACAGAGAGAAAGATTTTATTATCTGAACTGTGGCTTAGTTCCTTATGCTTAGATGCTGTTACTCGTGGTCATGATTCCTGTACTACTGTTCTCTCAATGGCGTGAAATGAAAGACCATTTGAAAGACGGTACAGCCAACCTGGTTATTAGCAGTCAACAACGTGGTTCTAACGTTGTCATTCTGATCTCAGAGGCAATGTGGACTGTCTTGTATATATCATGTGTATGTGAGTATGTCTCTGTGTGTGATCTTGTATATATCATGCCTGAGTGCGTGGGTCTGTGTATACTCAGCAGAAAGAATCTCGAGACCACAGACCGCGTCTACAAGAGCTTTTACTCCCTTTTAAAATCTGAAGTACGTTGAAGCTTGGTGCAATATTCAGCCTAAATAGTCACAGAGGTGAAAATGGCGTATTAGTTTAAGTAGGTAAAGTCGCACAATTTTGACCACTTATATACCTTCATGATAAATTCAGAATCGGTTACTATTAACGTTTATAGACGGTGGTTGCGCCGCCGATTGTTCGTGGCAGATAGTCATGCTGTTTCTGCCCAATAAAAACCAACTTACCGCAATAAATACGAACTGACTAGCTTATGTATTGGTAGAAAGAAGATAAGTAACAGAGATAACAAAAATATATAAGCACAGCGAAAGTAAGGCCGCGACCGAAGTTCTTTTGAAAATTTATGTTCCACGTAAACCTACCACGATCAGAACGACACAGGAGAGCCGTTACAGGTGGCAGTGGTGTTGCTGATGTATAGCTTACGACGACAAGCACGCATACATACACACACGCACACATACACATACACACAACAACGCGAAGCTGAGTACAGAAGTCTGTTCCTGTTGTCTTTCAGTTAATAGCAGGACGAGCAGAAACAGGCCGTTTGCTTAGTATTTGCACAATACCTGCTTTTAACGTTGCTTTTTTTTTGCTACCGTTGGTTGAGCTGACTACCTGGAGCTAAGCCGTCGTCTGTTCCTTTGTTTGCGTCGCACTGTGAATGTGTACAGGCATATGAGTCTATAGACATTGGGGCCTAAATAGATACGTGTTACGACTTGAGCTGAACAGATCCTAGGGATATGTATCCCTCTTTAGACTATCCACCATATGCCACAATGTCCCTAGAAGCTTCACCACTGTCCCTAGAATATCCCTAAAAGTTATGCGCGACAGTCACATGCAGACACAGTCGCGCAGCAACAAACATTGGCGGGCAAATAGAACTAACGCAATCCTGCGACTGGGTGTCTCGTACACCTGGCGCCAATATCTATGTGAATATGTAATCAGAGCAACCAAATGGGAGATTTTCTGCTCTCAGAAGCAGTGCACGTAGTGGTGTGTCTACAATCGGCTGCTGGATGTCTAATCAGTCAGTCCGCCAAAAGAGGGGATGTCTGGACATTCGGTGTCGGTTATCCAAAGCAACCTGGGATACATTTGCTAAAAGTGACTAAAATTTAGCTCGTGTTACTGCTGCTACTGCTACTGCTCTTCAGTTATGAAAGCCAGAACACGGCTGCCATAGCAAGTCCCCGGACAGCTTATTGCCACAATCTGTTTACTCGTATTCCTGCAATGTGAACCCATAGGCCTCAGTGGCAATATCATTACTTAATAACAATGCTGAGAATTGTTGTTTCCGTTATGTTGCTTTTAAAATCGTCGAAAACAAATGCTTGAAATGGAATCGCAGTTAAGCCTATAATAATTAGTCTATTTTCATTTTCCAGAATTTTAGGGTTAGTTGTGGGCCTGAACCAGACCCCTATGTTTATAGAGACTGTAACTATCATGTGTAATGATTATCGTATAAAATACGTGGCATTTACGTGTCACCTCAGTTTACCTGTGCGCTGCGTAAGCAGAAATCTTTTTAGTGAAAGGAAGATAGTTGTAAATTTACAAGTAAGAACTGATATCACAGTCTTTTGATTAAAAATAGACATCTGTGGAGGCAAAAAAAGAATAGAACTTCCGATTAAGTCAAGTGTGAATTTCTATAGTATAATTGAAAAGAAAAAAGACTAAAACACACGAAACGATTACGCCGAATTATAACTTGAGCCCATCCCTAAAACCCAAACAACTCCTTTAAGAGAAATTTATTCATTCGATAGATCTACAGGCCAGATCATTTGATAAGCAGTTTTCGGTGCGTATTTCAAATATGTGATAATTCTAGAACCGTCTGCTGTTGATGCCTGCTCAACCTGTTTTCGCTGGGTAGTGCTCAAAATAATTTACACTTAAAGAAAAATTATAGTTTTTTTTTCAAAGGGAGTATTTTAAGGTTTACCGCAATTGACATGTGCCAAAATCGATGCCCCTAACAAACATTATTTACTGAATAATTAAGGCAGTTAGTGGTCACATCAGCTTTGAATTAACACAGTCTAACGCACTATAATTTGTGTAAATCACAATACAAATAATTAATGAGGTGGTCAGTCTTACAAATACTTTAATCATCTTTACAGTGGGTGGTATTACCATATATATACTTATTGAATACCGCAGATATTGCTGTATTGGACCGAAAAGATTTGGAGTCAGTAACATTTTTGTCAGGTTCTCAGTTATCTTCGAAGGGCATTCGGTTTTGCAAATAAAAAGTAAATTGTGTTAAAATAAATAGCCCCTTATTTTATTTAAAGAAATTCCTCTTAAAAGCACTATTGACATTCATTAGATTTATCAGGGCATAGACATAGTTCGCTTCGTACTGGGCTCCAGCCGTCTTAAGGAATGCGTAAAGGCTAAAACTCGAAACATCAAAACTTCGTCGAATTAAATTGCAAGTTACATTAACATTTAAAATTAATTCTGATATAGAAGCCAATTGAGCAAATAATGGATTTTCCTCGTCCGTCGAAGCAATTTGTGTTTATACTTGCTGGAGCAAGGTGGATTTACAGTGAGTTCCGCATGAGGGAAGTGCATAAGGGCATATAGGTAAGGTGGCAAAGGCCTGGCTCAGCAGGTGGGAAGTAGAGGATTGATACCCTATATCTCCGCTTTTTGAAAGAATTTTTTTCATAAAAATTATAGATTAGATGTCGATGGTATTAATAACAGCGGTTAATACAAATATTTTATTAGGATTCACATAAACAATACTTGTGTTTTAAGGAAATCACGCATATTTACGTGAAGCTATGCGTGCGAATCAAAAGTTCGATTGACCGAGCTGCGACTTGTTAGCAGTTGATTTTCACCCATATACTGTCGACAAAGATACCTGAGGTTATCAATATTGCATGCCCGATCTGTGAATGACGCTTGTACTTATCGTATGTTATATATTCTGGGCGTCTACACAAAAACAATTTGTAGCTGCCGCTGCATAGTGTTATAAAAATCCCGTTTAAAAGAATGTGGCTCTGCAGCTTTTTCAGGGATTATAAAACGTAGATGCATGTGGATGAACATGAAAAGAAATCCTCGATTCTGCTCGCTTGAGGCTCTCAAAGTAAAAGCAGATGGCCCACGCAGGGATCGAACCTACGACCTTCGCGTTATTAGCACGACGCTCTAACCGACTGAGCTAGTGGGCCATGCCTAAAATCGGCACTTCAATGAAAAACATGCGCAAATTACTCACCGATTTAGAATACGTGTGTATGTAGCTTGGACTGCCACGGATTGCGTACGTGAATTGATGAGTGACGCAATTAGCTGTCATATCCTCCTTGAATATGATTACTTCAAATAATTTGTTTTTGGAATAAAACACTTCGCTTCAAATATTATGTATTTACATTTTTACAAAGGTCAATGTTATGACAAAATGGCTGTTTTACTGTACAAAGGTGGATCAATGTTTAAGAATTTTTAAATAAAATATATCTAATATAGTTGAAATCCTTTATTCATTGATGTTTTGAAAATGTTTAGGAACACATGCGTAAGTTATTCATAGTTTCCATGAAGCTACCAAACGCAATGGTAGCCGTACCATACGGTAAAAATAATAATAACAATGGTATAAGTAAGGTGGAAGCGGCATGGTTAAATATTTCAGCATTTTAAAGCCTTTATTTTTGTTGAATGCTGCTTTGTTTCTCTGTATTTGAAAATCATTCCTTTTTTATTTAGCATTTAACCGATTTTAGTCACTTTCGAGGGATTTATAGTAATTTTTCAATTATATATAATTGTATAATTTGTTCACTCCAAAGATTTATTCGAAAATTCTGAACATTAGGTGAAAGAGGATAGAGGACTGCATTCGCGTCGGTCTTCTTTAACATTAACGAAGATTTACTAATTGGAATCTTGTGATGTACATATAATAATTCACATATAATAATTCACATATAAATACACACAATTCGGATTTCGTTCCGAGCTTGGCAAACTCTGCTTGCCAAGTATCAAAGCCGTTAATGGTAAATCGATGTAAAGAGAACGGCCATTATTTTAAGAAGTGGGCTTAAACAAACGGAATTATGTACTGAAATCCCTTCGAATTGAATTTAATTTGTGAATAGTGAACAAATGAACCGAGGCTTCTCCTGTCTATAGTTTGTGCATATTACAAACAAAAAAAATAGGTAGTAATAATGTTTTTGTAAGAAATCATTGAGAGTCATCTTAATACCATTCTCCAAATGTAAAGTCGTCTTATAAAGTATCAATTTAACCATTGGTTAAAAGGGTACGTTGAGAACGTCACCGTATGAACTAAGCTTTTACCCCACTAGTCTTCCTCTCGACTGCAAGGACCTTCTACAAAAACGCTGCATAAGTTAGCTGTTCACGAATCCAACACCGGTGTGTGTTGATTTAGATCGTACAACCATCAGAGTGATGTTATCAAATACGGAGGTTTGGTAAAGAAGTTGTGATAAGCAATGTCTACGAATATCGTATTCTGGCGCTCAAAATGCACGGTGTATGTTCTTTAAGGTCATAGTTTGAGATATCTAACGAAACGCAAGAGATACTAAAAATGAAAGTACTATCTTCTATGTTGTCATTTTGAAACATAATAATTGTAGTAAACTTTCGAACGAACAAATACATTAGCTAAAATCAGTCATACGATTGATCACTGAACTTCCGGGAACAACTGCGGTATTAACTGATTAAAGATTTCAATTACCAAAAAACGATTTTATTTTACTTTTTGCACTAAGCAGAAGTATGCAACGAAGACGTTCATACATTATAAATTTGACAAGCGTACTAAAATAGCTGATGAAATTTAGGCCTCAGTTTTTTTTAAAGATTTTAAAAGATGCCAAGCATAAGTCAAATTAATCGTTTTAAATCGTTATATTTGCTTAATTAAAAGTACGGTATGTTAGACGATAACAGTTATCCATGGAACGTGCGCAGTAGGTGTCTAGAAGATAGTATTTGGTAACTCCTTGATGCTTCGTTGTTTTTAAAGCATTGTTTAAACAGCATGATGAACAAATGAATAACTATGCCCACGCTGAGTTCATACTTGCAAAATGCTGGCTTCAAAATATACACTGTTATCACATTATTACAAACGCTGTACTGAGTATATGCAACTGGACGCATCGGCATTTACACTACCATTCCTCGATAGTCTACTTAATTAAATTCATAGGCACGATTTAGCGAATTTTTTAGGAAAATGGGTCGCTTGATGGGGAGCGAATTTTACGGCTTTTTTAGGTTCAAAAACAAAAGTGGACATTAATGTGAAAATATATGGGCAAGGTTCTAAAAAATGACCCGAAACCCTTCAGCGGGGTAAGCTTTCTGGCTCACTCTTGGCCCCGCCTCTCACTCTGGGAAATACGCTCTAATATTTAATTAGCTTTGCTTTTTCTGATGCTTTGTTTCCTTTTTATTTTGGTCGCTATACTGCGGCAAATTCTTGTTCTTTATCCAACCCTTATTAACTTATGTTAAAGCTTGTTAAACCGCTTCACGATTTTTTAAAAATTAGCAGTTTTATTGGCTAGCATAGTTCGACTTTTTCAGCGGAAAACTGTACCCGGTTAGAATACGTAGGATATGTGTACAAAACGAGATATGGAATCAGATACCCAATTAAAGGCAAGATTGTCCAAATATTGCTATATTCAATTTTAGCATAGTTATATACTTCATAAAAATACATTGCAGATAAAAAAAGGTTGTCTACCGTAAACACATTTATTAACCTGCGTATATACATACAAGTAGGGCAAAAATCTACTACATTATCACTGTGTTCATTCATTTTCATTACACGTACGTTCGATTAAATCCGCTAAGTATGGTGAATTTACTGAAGTAAAAAGCCAAGAACTATGCTGGTCCACGCAGGGTTCGACCCTACGACCTTCGCATGATTAGCACGACGCTCTAACCGACTTAGTTGGTAGGCTACAAGTTGGCGCGTGTGCTATGGCAGTCTCGCTATTTATGTAGTGAGACAGTGATGAATGTTTTTGAATTTAGTAAAACGTAAAAAAGTGACGATGAACCTTTTTAAATTATAACTTGTCAACGAGGTAACGTCGATGTTTAAACTCTTGGATGCAGTAGTATACGGATCGCTGGTTCAAGCCCAAGTAACTTTTAAATACTTTGCGAAGGCGTATCACTAGCGTTTAAAGACTTTTCAAGTTCACCTAAAGGTTAAGTAAACACATTTGTTATCCATTCGGTTTCAAACGCTGTCTTAGATTATACTCTGTTCAAGAGAGCTGCGTTTTGTAGCATTCAGGGGCGGAGAAAGGTGTTGACTTACAAGTGGGTAAAAGGAGAAGCCCTTGCTTAAGAACAATCGTCTTCTAGTTTAGAAAACGCTAGGTTGACAATTCAAATACATGCTTCTTTAACTCCCAGCCCACTTTTTACCAAATATGAGCCTACTCTCTAGCAAATAGAGATTTATGCTTTACCCAACAATAAGCACTAATAAATGACCTTGATCTCCCCCTGGCTGTACGTTCGTTTGTTTTTCATCGATCATAAGGACACGCAGATTTTGTATCCATCTGAAAAGATATACAGTAAACAAAAAGTTAATAAACAGGAACGAAGAAAAACTGTCTCTTAAGTAAACGAGTTCAGCGAGGTAAACCATGTCAAGAATGTCTGATCTCCACGAAAAATCTGACGGCGTGAATCTAATTACTGAGTTCTAGCCTGCGATTCTACTTCCTTATATGTTTAGTTTGCTTAATTAGTGTCATAAATTGTTTTCATTTCTAAAACTACATAAAATCAATGCATACATAAATAGATGATATGAACGTCCTTTGTCGCAGAGACGTTAATGTCCAGTCGATGAAAGAGCTAATCTAGCTAACAATTCAAGCGTATGAATATTGCTCCTGAGGTTCAAGCATTATCTAATGCATTTTTTCATATTAATGAGTCACATTTAATAAAGTACTGAAATCATATGCCTTTTTAATGCACGGACAACTAATGTTCCCGCCTATTTTCTGTGATATTCGAAAGAGCGGGTTAAAGTAACCGTTAATTCTATGCGAACCGCTGGACCGAAGTGCTCTAGATATTCGTACGGATCGATACGTTCTGAAGTCGACGAAACTGATGTTTATTTAGTTTTCCTAAGCTATGAATTGTAACAGTACAAAGACTATGTCCAAAATGAAGCAGTCGATCAATGCCATTTAGGATAGAACAAAAGGTTAGCGTTTACCGCAACAGCAATGCTTGTTTTCACAAATGGATAATTTTAAAATTAATACTTGCCAAAAAGCTCAACGCAGTCGACAGAATACGGACCTTTGTGGAGAAACCTCAATGTAATTCACTCCTGTCGCCTTTACCACTCGCTCACCTACTGAGATAGTCACGTTGGCACACCTCGATGCCAGTTATGTCAGAAATTACATGTGCGCAAACCGATATCAAATAGATTGTAGTAACTTAAATTAGTTATCAGCATTGAAACTCGATTTCGGGCTCTGTTACAGTTATTACAACAATGATCTGCAGCATGCGTTTTTTCCAGTTTTTTAACCTTTCAAACATTCTGCCCCACATTTTGCCCAAAAAAGTATAGGTAAAAGACGATTCTTTCGCTTGTCAAATTCGTGCAGTTACAAAACTAGATTCTAGTAATGATCTGTAAGTGTAACCTTAAAACGTTTTTTTGGCTGGAGCAGCGATTTGTTTCTTTATGAACGTTTGACAATATTGTTCGTCTCATCTCACTTCTTCTAGCCTAAAGCTCTACTTCTTATGTGAAGAGGTTTAAACCAGTAATACTCAAATCCCTTTTTCATTCGACAACAAACGTAGCATATATAATGGAGAATACTAGAACTGGCGACGGCACATTTATATATCAGCATACAAAAATTGAGTTTTCTCATTTTTTGTTATATTGAGAAATATCTCACATGGGATTACGCACGTTCTTTTCTCTGCATTAGGGTTATATATAAAATGTTTTATGTTTTGTGGGCTTTTTTAAAATATCATGCAATAAAGAACACTTCATTGCTTCATGATTTGACCGTATTATTTCCGTCTTAGGATAACTCCAACTGTGTCCCGGGGACCCGTTAGACCCTTATTCTTCTAAATGCACATGTGACATACCAGTCAGCTTTCTATGATTTTAGGCAATATTGAAACTGATGCTTGCTTTAAAGGATCAATTCGGCTTCTCGTTAAAGTATATCTAGAGCTTGAAAAATCGTTCTATCTAGATTACTTTACAAGTACAGAACGATTCCTAGGACCCTTGGCGTATTTTAGTTTGCTTAGTCTTTTCAGATCTTTCAAAAAAAGTAACTAATTCAGCTTATGAGCTGGAGTTAAATTATCTTAGATTGAATTCCGAATGTGGGTAATTCAGAATGGCTGACTCTGCGTTAGCAAAGCATGCTGTGTATCACTACTTGTTTCCTCGATAGACTA